GCCCCAATGAAACATACCATAGCTTCTAATAGAGCGACAACGAAACACTAAATAAAATCCCTTCGGCGGAAACAGTACTGAGAGGATTTATATATAGGCAATATCTCAGCCTCACAATCCCTCAGAGTATTGCTGTTTTCACGAGGCATACCTAACTTTACTAAAAGACTCATTTCGTTTATTTATTTCGAATTTAACTATACTTAGACTTAACCTAAGCGTTTAATTACTCTAAGGCGTTAATATCGCCTTGATAGACCGAAACTTACATGTAATGCCGTGGAATGGGTTAGTGCAGAGTACGTAATACCGAATAGGACCAGGTTATCCGTCATAATTCGGTCGAGGAGCGAGGATGGGGGTGAGCCAATGCCGCACCAGACCACGGATGCATTCGGTATGTGCTGGTTGGCCAGGATCGGAAGTATCATAGGCGGGACCAACAAGCACGATGATTTGGTTTGAACCGAAATTTGGAAGTAGTACTTCAACAGCGTGATTAGCCGGGGTATGGGGAACATCTGTTGATGTGTCAGAGACGGGTGAGGGTACGGTGGTTCTTCTACATGCTGGAGAAAAGATCCAAGGTGTTCGTGGAGGGTCCAGATACCGTGGAAGTCATGGCGCTCCTGTAATTGTTGGAGGGGGTCAGGGCCAATGGGCGGCAGTTTCGGGCCTACCAGGATGCGTCGAATCAGTTGTTGGATGCAGGTAAACTGACTGGTGGTGTACCTGTGGCTACCGGGACAGACAGGGCAGAGACAGCCATCGGTGCGGTAGTCGAGCAATGTGAACATGTACGTATTCGTTACAATCATAGCACATAGCCGGATTGGTGTAGGCTCGAGGCAGCGCTTGAAGCTGTCGTGTCTGGCTTTGTCCCGGTTTGAGGTTGGCGATTTACCCATAGCCAGTTGGTAGTAGTATTGGCGCCGGGCCATTGCCGCGATATCCTTGTTGGACCAGCGTTTTGTTGATTTCTTCCTGATGTCGTCACAGTGTTGGCGGAGGGCTACATGGTCGGGTGTACGCCCGCCCGTGGTTTTGTGTACAGTTTTTAGGTGAGCCTAAATACTGTACGGGAAGTGCAGTGATGGTTTGTCGTGGGCCCAGGCGGGTTGCGTCAGAGGGGTGAGTGAATTTGTGCTGGCCATTAAGTCGAGTTGTATTCCCAGGCAACCTCCGAGGTAGTCCACGAATGGTCGCGCGGGGAGCAGGCCACAAAAGTAGAGTAAGTTTGTTTGATGTTTGGGAAACGGAGGGTATTTAGTGCCCGTGATGATGGCTGCTGCTTAGATGAGTACTGAGTTAAAGCGCTTGAACAGGGGCCCAACGCATCCTTTTATATAGGCGGAGCCCAGGCAATAATGTTCAGGCCATATGTAGCCGTGGATAGGGTAAATTTTTTGAATAATAGTGTCAGATTCGTTCAGACGGTGGAGATGGTAGAGATCGTCATGGAATATTTGCAATTTGGCGATATGAAGTGTTTAAGAGCACATGTGTGTGCAACAGTGTCAGGTTAGTTCAAACGGTTGAGATTGTGGAGATGGTCATGGAATATCTCTGTACATATATGTGCTGAAGTACCTAAAGTGAAAAGGCTGTCTTAGCGTATGAAAGGAACTTCAATCCGAAAATAAGTTCAGATCTAGTGAGTAACAAAACGTATATTAGGCTGTTCTCTAATAAACTAGGCTTTTCTACTCAAGTGGTTTTTGTAAGATACAAAGATGCACTGTTTAGTTACTAATTGGCACCGCTAACTACTCCTCTTTGGAGCTTACTACAGATATACAATACTCGTAGAAATAACAAATATCCAATAGTAAAACCTTAGTATGTCGGTTGCTGATGCAGCCAAAGGCTTTGGTGCTTATGCCGAAAACAGAGGTATAGGGCGTCGAAGAATGAGTTCTTGTCGGACTGGAGTCGAGTCCGTATGGCCATGAAGAATGACCGTGGTTGGGTTGCCAAGGATGATTTTGATAATGAATCTCGCTTCGAGGATCTGAATCGATTTCCGCAACCGTGTAAATCGATGTGGACTATACTAGCTAAGATAAAAGGACTATTTATTAAAATATAGTAAAGTATGTAGTAGACAAAAAGTAAGATAGCTTTCAAGTCCAGCTGTTAGTTTTGATATCTATTCAACTAGCTAAATAAGTACACTAAAAGGTACCATTCCTACATGCTGTTTACATGATGTGCGCTACTTACTTGTTAAATGCTACTAATATCGCATTATTGATAGTATACTACAATGAAAATGTGGATCGGCTTTTACAACCTTGAGAATTTTTAACCTTTGTATGGTTGCGTGGTATTAGAGGGAATCTTTCAAGAAAAGCATGTAAGTTGTGTTATGCTATTATTTGTGAAGTTGTTGTATACGTAGTACTGTATTTATATGAGTATAAAGTGTGTGTGTGTGTGTGTGTGTGTGTGTGTGTGTGTGTGTGTGTGTGT